CCGCCGTAACGGCGGGGCTCGGCGGCGCCCCCCGAGCGCGGATGGCGCCCGGCGGCGGCTGTGCCGTGACAGGGGCGATCTGCTCGCCGGCTGTGGTCCGTGGCGTGCTGGCAGTGGGCACCGCAGATGGCGCCGCGAGCGTGGTTCGTGGTGCGGCGGCGCCGCTCGTCAAAGCTGGAAAGCCCGAGGTGCTGTCTGCCGTATTCATCCTAGGCGGGCGATTGAGTGGGCATTGCGCAGAGGTGGCTGGTCGCAGCAGGAGCACGCAGCTGCCAAGCACAGCACACAGCATGAGCCGTTGCAGGTGGCTCGATCACACCTGATGCACTGCACGGCGCTCGCGGTATCCAGGTCAGCAGCACTATATTTTTGTCACTGTATGCTTGGTTCTCGATGGCGCTTGATTCTTCAGGTAAGGGGCACAGTTCGACGTGATCTCGGATCGACAGTCTCTAACGCAGCAAGGAAGCTATATGTAGGAAGCAAAAGCCGACGAATGTTTTATTTACGCTAGGCTACAACGCCGGAACGCAGACATCATGTGAACTAGCTCGCAGGCGCACCGTCGCGTCAGCGCAACTGCATCAATTGAGCGTGAGGGGGAGGACGGGCTGCGGTTGCCGCCGGGCGTTGATTGCTGCCAGCCTCATGCACAGGTGAACCAGAATGTGAGAGGCATGCATATCTGTTCCAGGTTCCTGCCGTGGCCCTATGCGGCTTTGACCTTGTGGGCTAACATGAGATTCCACCCGCTCGCGTGGTGCTGCACGTGCATGAGCCCATTCACTTGCGCGAAGACTGGAGTGGGTTACGGGAGTACAAAAATCTCCAGGATTTTGATCGCAGCTTTGGGGCTGTGTTGCACCAGTTGCGGCCAGCATTGAAGATGCTGGACCCTTACCGAGAGCAGTTGGATGCAGACCCACCCATATGACCCGTCCCCTGCGTCCCCTCGCCAAGAAAGGATTTATGCACCACATTTCTACCCACTTCTTAACGTCGCAGCACGCCCAATGTGAGCCTTCGCGCTTTGCGCGCTTTGAGTGACGCTAGTGTGCGCGCGGGCGTAACCTTGGATTGCCCGTTGCATCGATGACATCACGTGGGCCACGCCACGCGTGCGCCTCAACATGCGCCACTCTCTCGCCCCGTTGAGGCCGAGCCCTTCGTCTATTGGCCAGGTCAAATTGCACTCGCGGCGCTTCGACGGGCTCTACATGCTCCCAACCATGGCGCTGCCACCTGTCTCGCTGTTGCACGCGCTGTCGCGCGCGCTCTCCGGCAGGCGCCCCACCCCACCCGAGGTGGTGCTGAAGAACGTGTGGGACCTGCTCTCGGATGCGACCGTGATTATCGAGCACGTCAAGGTCGGCGCCGACAGCCACACGTTAGCCGAGGCTAAGGCCCTCGAGGACGCCATCAGGGCGGTGCGGCCGGGGGACGACGCCGCGGCGTTTGAGGCGCTGGCGGCCGCGCCGGTGGACGGCGTCGTGGCGGCGCTGCTGGGGGTCAGGAGGCAGGGCGCGGCGCTCTCGGAGATGGGTGGGTGGCACCGCGGGGCGGGGCGGGGAGG